CAAGCCACTCTAACTGCACTAAGCCATAGTGGACTCATTTGAAAGGAAGAACTTGAGAATATTTTGCTAGTATCTTTCTTTACTAGTCTCCTATTCATGAATCCTCCTATGAAAATACATTCTATAGTTAGTGGTTTATTATATTTCCTATCTTGAATAATTTAAATTTCCTTGATATCTCCTGATCTCTTGAACATAAAGTAATTATCTCATATGTCACCTACCCCTCCTTTCAGGAGATTTGAGGTTAAAGCATTTAACCTGATTTGAGTTCTTACTATGTACCAGGTGATGGTCTAGCTGAAACTATCAACAACTCTATAAGGCAGATGGACATATTCTCTTTTATTAATAAAAAGACAAACTCATACAAATAGATCTCAGAAGCAAATTGCTCACAGTATTCCCCTTCACCCAAGCATTATGGCACATGGAAGATCCCAATGTCTTTTTGATGGGGGATGGAAGTGCTAACGTGGACACCTGAAGTCACTTGCTGGAACTGGACTTTCTGGCTTTACAGGCATTCTCTGGAGTGGTCCCGAGGAAGAATTGAAGAGAAACAGATTCCTATCCATGCCCCAGAACTAAGAATATATGTTATTGTACAATCTTTTTAGAAGGCAAAATTGCCTGAGGTTAATATGTAAACTATACTATAATGGTAAGAGTTTTGTTAAATGAGTTAGTATTACTTTAAAAATCTAATGAGAGTATTTATTTTGTTATGCACTGAAAACATATCAAATGATCTATCAAACTTAAGAAAATAACCAGGAACAGCAAGATAAGTAATTATATCAACAAGGAAAATAACAGCATTCCAATTAGCATAATTTATCAGAACATGGATCCCAAAGCATATCATGAATATTACAAAGAATATTTAATGTTGTTGAAAAATAACTAGAGATCCACTTAATGACAGTTGGGACCCCAGAAGGATATATTTTTTTTTTAAAAAGTCAGAAATTAATGGTAATATATTCATCACTGTGAATAAAACTAGAGAAGAGACAAGTTCTTCCATTCTGGGGACATGACAGTGATTTCCGTACTGTCATGGGGTAGAAAGCAGAGAAGGGAAAACTCTGCATCTTTTGATAACATTTTTGGAGGGGGAGCAAAAGGAGGGAGCACCTTTTACTGGAACTGGCAAGTAGGGACAATGAGATCAAGGCTGTGTGAAATCAAGGCTTTGGATTGGCATTTCTATCACAAGGCCAACCTGGAGCATGTGGCTCCACCCCCAGCTCAGCTTTCTCACACATCCTTGTCCTCTCCAGTTGCAGTGTTCCCTGGTCCTACATCCTTGATGCCTGAGAGTTACTTTCCTGTTGAAGTGAAGTACTGAGCCACGTGCTAGAATCATACATCTCCTTCTCAAAATATTTGACCAACAAAATGGGATTAAAGTTGAGTTGGCAAATGTGGGTTATAATAATTTTACCTGTTGGAAGCTATTCATGTGGATGTTGTCCTTATCATTTCAGATGTTGTTTGTGGAAAGAGAATGTGATTACTGGCCAAAATCTATATTATGTCATCTGACCTGTTCTATAAACAGATTACATGGAGCATATGGGCATAAGTTGTGAGCTGTGGTTAGCTAATTATGTTCAATAGAAATACACATACATGTACAACTAATTTTAAAGGGATTAATTATAAGTGCTATATTTTAGTTACAAGGGCTTTTTTGGAAATACCTCATTGTAGCAGTCAGCAGAGTCACTTAACAGTTTTATTTCTTTATGGATGAACACAAACCATTTGGAGTATTGTATACAAAACTGAATTTTGAGAAAATTTTCACAAACTACATCATGTACTCTGAGATAACTTGGCAAAGGTGAGAGTATATATTACAAATAAGTGTGGTCCAATTGTATCAATTGCCAAAACACATATTTTTATTTCAAATCTGGCTTTACAAACAGTTTCCAAATACACTCATTTGACTAATACAGCTAAACAATGAAGTATTATCTCTGGAAGTATTAATTTATATTAAAATTTAAGTATGAAAACTTTCTGCTTTTCTTAGAAGTTAACAAACTTCTCCTTTTCCTTCTCCTCCTTCTCTTTCTGTCTTATATGGTTGGAACTCAAGTACTTCCCAGAACTATATGACCTTAGGAAGTTTTCCTCTTATAGTTTACTGGCAATCACTCTTTTTATAGCCTTATGGAATCTTACCCTAATTTTGCCCTAATTAGTATTTAGCCAATGACTCAAAGGAAATTCTTGAAAATCTCTGGGATTCTTTCTCTTCATAGGTCAATCTCCCGGTAAGTTATACTGCAAATTCCAGCAACTATTGCCTCTCCAAATTTCATTTTTTAAATCAATTTATATCATTCTGCACTATTTTGAGTTCTCTCCTTGGATCATAATCTAAAATCTGCCTGAAGGAGGAAAACTTGGCTAATTTTATGACCTGACTCCTTAGCCACCATTCTCTGAGGCTTCTTAATTCTTAACTGTTATCCTCATTCCTGAAAACAATTGCATAATACATATTATTTGTGTTCTTTGCTGTTTTATAGTCAGAAGGTAAGTTTTATTCTAGCTACTCCTTCATATTTGGAAGAAGTTGTTTCTCTCGCATAGTTTTTTAGTCATAATCACTTGCTTTCACTAACAAATGAAGGTAGATGCTTGTAAACCTTTTTCGTAGGCTTCTTTATTTTGCAACTTCATTTGATTAGGAGAGGAAAAATTTCTTTTTACCCTCTGAAGATTTGGTAATCAAGTCTATAAAATAAACTGACATAGATTAACAGAAGAAAACTACTTTCATTACATGTTTATGAATAGGAGTTCCATAAGATATGACTAGAAGAAGGGCCAAATGATTAGAGTTTTCATACCATCTTGAGCTACAGAAAGAAATAAGGGCTGCTGTGATAAGGGGCCACAAGTTATGGGCAGTGAAGAAAGAAGATGAATGGTGGATCAAGGTTGTCTTGTTGCAGATAAAATGCCAGGTACTGAGAGTTGCCTCTGAGAACTGCTCAGGAGAATAGATGCCAGTTTGTGACAAAGTCTTTGGTGACAAGAGGACAGGACATCAAACTTTATTCTTGTTTAGTTCAAAGCGCTCAGCCTGCCCAAAATGCCATATTTCAGGGTACAATTTCTGAGCTTGAACACATATCCATCAAAGATGATTTTATCATCAATATGCTCCTTCTTTCTCAACTAGACCCCATGAAAACCATCAGCTTCCTGCAACTCTGTTGACTGTCCCAGAAATGTGCACTGACTTCATTTAATAGCAAACCTCCTCTGCTAGGAGGCAGTACTTCCTTAGAGGGTAACATAGTCCTGCAAAACAGAGAGAAGAAAAATCAAAACAACTTCTGAACATGAAAAGAAATGTACTTATAAAAATTCACACCATAGTGGATTTGTGGTCAGGATACCTATTTTGCTATTGGAAATAAAGAAAAAGTTATTTTTACATTTTTTTATTAATGAGCATTAGAGTCTCTTAGTCCAAATGGGTATGTGGACTGAACATGCCTCTGCTTCTGATTCATTATTGCCACCCTCAACCCATTCTCTGTCCACATGGTTATCCCTGCTTAACCTCAGAACCACAACTAAGTTCTTGCTGCTGTTGAATATTTCCAAGCCATGATATCCCTCCTGTGTGTTCACTAATGACTCTGAACTTTCCACTATTATTGCATCTGTCAAGTTGTGTAGCAAACGACACTATTCATCCAACTCCACAACAGGGCTGCAAAAAAAGAAAAAAAAGAAAAAAAGAAATCCAATATACACATTTCCAAATCCCTGAAGTAATACACTATTTTTTATGAGAATAGATTAAAATTTAATTCTCATCTTAGCTAAAAGCATTAGCATCTTTCTTGTTTGTAATTTTCCTTTTTCATGTTTCCAGATAATAGGTGGAAGAAAAAGTAAACCATTTATTTCCCTTGTATTCAACTTATATTACGAGTTAGTTGCTGTACTGAAGTGTAAGTAGAGTCAATTTATTATTTAATTATATCTTTCACAGATTCTGTAGTTTTTTGGCTATTATAATGTTCAATAGATATTTGTTGAATGACTGGGAAATAAAACTGAATGAACTAAAAGCATTAACTTGTATTATATCTATGTATAACTAAGTAAAATTATGTAGAAAAAGAGAGAGGAGAGGAATAAGAAAAATTCTGAGATAAAAGCTCTTATTTCTTTAAATATTTAAAGAAATAATTATAGTTTAGCTTTCAGATATAAAGAAATTTATGTTGGGATTTTTTTCATGAGAAAGGAAAGCTGGCTGTAGCAAGGGTTTTAAGTAGCTGACAGGTACTAATAAAGTAAAGTCCTAAGAGCATCTTCAAATCATACCAGATTTCATACAAAACAAGTGTCAAGAGCCTTATTTCACTTACTACCGTGAATAATAAATGGAAGCTTGGAATTCTTTCTAGTTTTTAGGGTTGTTTACAGAAAATCATTTTTTTCTTTACATAAACCATGTAATTTCTGTACTTTGAGAACTTTAATATTTTAAAAGGGTCAAATAAAAAGGCACAGAATGTGGAATAGAAATCACTTATAAATTTCCACTTAACTTGAAAGAGAAAGCAGGTCAATAAGAACAAGTTCAGAAATATTTTAAAAGATGTTTATTTAGAAAAATTTCTGGTGTGACACCTTTGATTTTAATAACACTACATATTCACAAATAGGATAATATGTTTAAAAACTTCAAAGAAAAATACAAAGGAAAGATAAAGTTGCTTCAAATGTCGTTGCCAATTAGGGCTCTTTGCTTTTGTATTCAAATTCTCTGTTGAGAATAAATAGATAACCTAATACAAAAATACGGAAAAAACTACTTGTGGAAAAATTATTTGATAATGTAATTAAATCATGAATTTTCCTTCCATAATGAAATTTACACTTATATTAATATCTTACAGTAGATCCTTAGAATGTGTTGAAAATATGGTAACTTTTCTAACATTATAATTACTGAGACATTTTCTCCATTACTAACTATCACCAAACACAAAATACCCTAAATACTTATTTTTTAAAGTGTACAGTTCCTAGGTATTCCTTTTATGGTTAATGACAAGATTCCCAAACTAGCTTCACTCTCTAAATCAAGAGATAAAAGAAGTACAGAATCCCAATGTCTATGGATCTAAGTCCCCTATTTTATAGATGGCAGAATTGAAGTCCAGAGAACAATCTCTCAAAAGTCACGTAAATTGTTTTTATATTCTTTCTCTTCTTCAGGTAATGGGATAAATATTACACACAAGGGATCTTCCATTGCTTCCCATACATCTTTAAAGGTACCAGAGGGTTTTTTTTCCAAGAGTTCCATAACAATAGATTAAAACCATATTCTATTAATATTTTCCCATAAATGTCATATTTCTGAAAATGTGATATTCCTCAAACATGTTTTACAGATTCATAAATGTAGCATGTACATTTGGAATGTTGGAATGACTCTTTTAGTTGCATCTAAAAACATATTAGGATTGTGGAATAAAGGCATAAAAATAAAGGAATCCATGCTTCAAGCTGGTCTTTCTGGGAAAGTTTGCAAAATTGTTTATAGTTTCACAAATTTCAGCTTTATGTTGGTAGAGAGGGATACTTACCCCATGAAGATATGTTCCTGTCTCATTCATGCATACTTTTAGAAGATACTGATACAAAACATAAGTTACGAAAGCCCAGTGGAGAATCTCTGTAGAAGGAGTGGAATCTTTCACAGGCTGAATGTAATTTGCTGAATGAGTTCATTTTAACTTCTATCTCCACCAGGTGCATTTTTACTGATGTTTTACAAATAAACATTATAATTCCAATCTTTATACCTACTCTCTTGGCTGATAGCTTGGTCCCTTGGTCTATTCTTTCTAGAATAAGAAGCAAACAGAATGTATGATAGCACCTTCCAAGTGGTTTCATTTGGGGCTAGGCAAAAAGAGGAATGAGACAGGTAATTTTGTTGATATTTTCATGTCTCTAGAGCACCAGATGGAATTCTAAGGTATTTTGTTGGAAAGCATGCATTTTGATGATATTAACTTTAGTTCCTCTGAGGAAAATTTTTTTATTATTTTCATTAATCATATAATGGCTGTATTTGAATGGCAACATTAATGAAGAAACAAATGCAATCTTTACAGCAATTTTACCAGTCATTAAAACAAAACATAAGTCCTTAGATTAATGTAACTTAGATTCAACTGTTGTAATTAGAGAAATTATTTATACTTCTGCTGTGTTCTTTTGTCATTTAACTGCATATCTTTTAGATGCAAAATAGCTCAGGTAATTACTATTCTAGAAGTTAACCACATTGCTGTGGTTATGGTTCATTGTTGCATCTCAGAGATGCCTTAGGTTTGGAAATTCATGAATAATAACATTTGGGAAATGAAAACTCAGAGAAAAAAACTAATGAGTTGTATCTAAATATTCTGTATATTCATACAAGTCCATCTATGCAAACAGTGTACCCTACACAGCCTGCCTAATTGTTATCCATTCAAGAGTTCCTGAGTATAGTTTTACTAGAAATGAACAACTCCCAGGATAATTGCATCAGGCACTGCAGACATTTGCCTTAAAAAATCCAAGTAAAGAAGTTGCCAGAGTTCAGTATCCTGGTTCTCATCCAGCAAAGGATGAACTAGATATCTTTCTTCAAGTGATGTATTTTAAAATTATCAAACTTCTTTGCTATGAACAGCAGATGAATTGCTAGGTCTGGGTCATCTGCTGAGATAAAGTGGACAAATTCAAACTGTTATCAATTTCTTTAGGTGACTAAAAGTAAAGCAGAACACTTTACTTCCATCAATTCTACTGCCACCAAAACAACTATGAAATGAGAGCTGATGTCTTTGGCAAGGCACCTTTCTACTTTGTGTTTTGCAAAGAGCCTATTGTGATTTAAAGGTAACAATTACTTTCTAAATCTAGACTGATTTACCCCAGTTGGCAATCGCTTAACCTCTCTGGCTATTAATACTTTCAGCTATAAATTAAGGATATTTCACTTGAAAATTCTTAAGGTCTCTTCCTATTCTATTTTTGCCATGTGACATAGAATTTCTCCAGAATGTGCTAACAATGGAGTATTGCACACTAAATTATACAAACAAAAAATATGAAGGTGACATTCAATTTAGAAACAGATTCAAAATTTTCAAAGGTATATCATGGCCAGAGAACATAATGAGGTATTTGACATCATTAGTCATTTGGGAAAAACAAATTGAAACCACAGTAAGATACTTCTTAACACCCATTAGAACAGTTATAATATAAAAGACAATAACAAGAGTAAGTGGTGATGTGGAGAAATTGAAACCCTCATACATTGCTATGCATTGTGAAATGGTGCAGCCATTTTTGAAAACTGACAGTTCCTGTTTGAAAAAACAGGGCTACTAGACTATCCTATAATCCATTCTTGGGACACACCCAAGAGAAATTTTAACATTTGTTTATACAAAAAAAACTGTTCATAGCATTATTACTAATAAAAGCCAAAAAGCAGAAACAATCCAAATATCCTTCAGCTGCTAGATGGAAAAACACAAAGTGGAATAACTGCTAAAAAAGAATATTATTAGGCAAACTAAAGAAATATAAAGTACTTCAACATGAATGAACTTTGAAGGTACTATGCTAAGTGAAAGAATACAATTATAAAACACAACATGCTACATGATTCCATTTTTATGAAATATTCAACTTTAACAAATCTATAAGAACAGAAGGTAGATTAGCTTAATAAAGTGGCTATAAAGGAGAATATTTTGCAGGTATTTTTTGAAAATTGATGTTTTGAGTATAATTTCATGATGTAAAATTTTATAGAGGGAAAAACTGATATTAGAAAAAAAGCAATATACTTAAAAGATAATAGATTTAAAATTCTATTTTTGTAAATTTTGAAATTTTCATTAGCCTAGAACTAAATGCTATGTGTATATATATATATATTTTTTTTTCTTCTTTTTATTTTTCCTTTTTTATTGTTATCAAGAATTGAACCCAGGGGCTTTAAGACTGAGTTACAACCTCAGCCCTTTTATTACTTATTAAGGAGACAGGGTATGGCTAAGTTGCTGAGGGTTCAATGAATTGCAGAGACTGGCCTCAAATTTGTGATTCTCCTGCATCAACCTCTAGATTTATTGGAATTCAAGTGTGAGCCACTGTGTCCAGATGAATTAAATGTAACTTTAATGTTCTAAGGAAATAATCTTAATATGAAACATTTTTAGAACTAAATGTATCTCTCTAAATAAAAACACTCAGTCTTT